GCTCGCGAAACCGCGCCTGCACCACCCACCCAGCTTCCACTCCCTGCCATCTCCCCTCCTCCCCCGCCCCCAGCTTCCCTGTGCTTACTGGGTCGGAGCTGTGGGGTTTTAAAAAATGGCACCCAAGATGGCAGGCATCTTAAAGGGGCAGCCTCCTATTTTTAATTTTTTCTTTTTTAATTTTTTTGTTTTTGCTCGACAGTTCTGTTCTGGAGGGGCTTTTTTGTCTTGACAACTCTGGTGTGGCTCTTCACATTTTTTCTGCTGCTGTTTTGGCTCTCTTTGTTAAATGGGTTAGCCACCTCTGGTTTAGATCCTACTATTATTTACTGCACTTTTAAAAGATTAGATTAACAAAAAATGAGAATATAGTTGATAACATTTTAATACTTTCTAAAACTAATCACTATTTATAGTGTATAATGATAATACCACTTAGCTCTCTATAGTGTATTTCATCCCATAGACCTAAAACTGCTTTACAAAGGGAGTGTCATCATCTTCCTGTTACCAAGTCAGTGACAAAGCTGGGACCAGCACCCATGTCTCCTGACCTCTAGAGCCCTATTTACTAGGCTACATTGAGGACACAATTTTCTTCTCCTATTCACCTGGTACATTTGTGTGATGACATTTTGCTCTATATTTGCAGAAATCATTTTATGTCTCTTTGAGAGCTCAGCATTCCCAATGCTTGTGGTTTTATAAGCAGTCTTGTGATAGTGGTTGTTCTTCTTAAATTCACACTCATAAAATAGTGTGATTAGGCAAGAATCTCTGCTCTCACTTTTTCTTTTTAAAAAAAGTTTGTAGCATCCTGGTTGCAGCGAAAAACTAGAAAATGTGACTCAAAAGCCAGGAGTAAAAAAAGAACTAAATTTGTTAATTTGTATTATAAAATCTCATTTTTTAAAGTTTTGAACACTTGGGTGGCAAGACTTAATCTGCACTTGGTGACTGAAATAATTCTCAGTGCTGAGGACTTAGGCACAGTGCTTTTTGCACCATTTAAGCCAGCCTAGGCTAGTGAGTGGACCACATGAGTGGCCCTCCTTCATATCAGTGGGCTGCAAGATTGTTGTAACCAAGAGGATCTCCCGGGATAGTGAAGTTTTGCTAACTGCGCGTGCATATCTAGAATTTGCAAAGTGTGCCAGTTGAACCATAGCAGTGCTTTGAGTGCAGAGGGAGCACCCGGCTCTCACAGTCAATGTTATGCAATCAGCATGGATCTCACTTCATGTGCCCTTGCTTCATGTGTGTATCACATTAGTAATACAAGTAGAAAAAAACTATGTGGATAGAAACCAGCAGAATCTGGCAATCCTGCACATGGGCAATGGGCAGCAAAATGTCTTGTGAGACACACATAGAATCCCAGTGGGCCACATTGGACCCATGGACCACAGGTTGCCCACCACTTATTTAAGCCCTCAGTCTGTGGGACAAAAGCGATGCACACAGACTTGTGTGGATCCTCGTCACTGGAGCATACTTCACTCCCAGACCAAAGAATGTAAAGAACTGCTGTGCAGAGAGAATTCCGCTATAAGTCTTAAGAACTCTGGGCACAAAGATTTCTGATAAGCAACCATGTGAGAGTATCAGTAATTCCCATCAAGAGCCTGATAAATGCCTGCTGATTTCACTGGACTCTTTCCACTGAATTCAACCAACTTTGGACCAAGTCCTTCATGTAGCAGGTCTCCTTTTATTTCCTCTTTTTTTTATTGCATAGACAAGTATCTACATCAGTGGTGCTTAACTCGTGAGCCATTTCCAACCCAATCAGCACATAGCTGCAGCCCATATGACACACTTAGGGCCATACAGGTTGTATATATACTGTGTGGATGTGGCCTATATAGTGTAACCCACACACCTAGTGGATGTGGTGTACTGTCCCATCTAGTGGCACTGACACCTCTTACAGAGAGAATAATGATTGTGGTCTATAGCCTTAGCTGAAAGCCAGTTCATGTGGTAGAGTCTCATACACCAAGCTCCAGATGTCCTGGGTTCCGTTTTGCCTGCCAGCAATACAATAGTGCATTCAGGGCTGCATATGCAGCCTACAACAGCAAGTAAGTTGAGAACCTGGCCCTATCAGATGGGGGGAGGGGGTGTCAGGAGGGCCATTTGGCCCTGGCCTCATATTTTAAAAGTTGTAATTCATTCTGATACTATAAAGCTATTTTGTTTGAGCTGAGGGTGAGTTTAATCTTTAAATGAAGTGTTTATCTCTGCATAGGAGATTTTTGTATTTCTGTTTTTTCTTATTTGTCTTTGTATACAATAACCATATCAGGCTCAGCTGTAAGCTACCTCTTCGTCCAGTTTTAGATTCCCCTATTATCAGCTATTTTGTGATAATAAACTTTTAATTCTAGTTGTTTAATAAACTTTATAGCTAATCTGGCAATTGGCCTGTTTTCATATTCATAGTAATGCACCAGTGATTAGAGGAATTTAATAATGGGAACATATTAGCAGATGAAATTTCAAGACTTTGAAACAACGCCATAAGGGCTATAGTAAATATCACCCCCAAATTGTTATTATATAATATTCATTGTCAACTATATACAATTAAAATTTTGTATAACTAATAGCCTTTAACAAATTGTGTGTTTACATAAGAACATAACAATGGCCATACTGGGTCAGACCAAAGGTCCGTCCAGCAAAGTATCCTGTCTGCCAACAGTGGCCAATGCCAGGTGTCCCAGAGGGAGTGAATCGAACAGGTAATGATCAAGTGATCTCTCTCCTGCCGTCCATCTCCACCCTCTGACAAACAGAGGCGAGGGACACAATTCTTTACCCATACTGGCTAATAGCCATTAATGGACTTAACCTCCATGTATCTAGTTCTCTTTTAAACCCTTTTATAGTCCTAACCTTCACAACCTCCTCAGGCAAGGAGTTCCACAGATTGACTATGCGCTGTATGAAGAAGAACTTCCTTTTATTTGTTTTAAACTTGTTGCCCATTGATTTCATTTGGTGGCCCCTAGTTCTTATATAACTTTTCCTTATTCACTTTCTCCACACCACTCATGACTTTATAGACCTCTATCATATTTCCCCTCCCCCTTAGTCTCGTGAAACGAGGCTTACAGGATCAGTCGGCAAAGGCTTCCCCAGCCAACAGATCCGCATCCTTTTTGGATTCCTTTGAGAGTTCAGAGAACTAAGGGTATGTCTACACTACAGAACTAATTCGAACTAACTTAATTCAAATTAGTTAATTCGAACTAAGCTAATTCGAATTAGTGCATCTAGACCTAAAAACTAATTCGAATGAGCATTTTGCTCATTCAAACTAGCATGTCCACATTGAGTGGACCCTGAACCAAAGTTAAGGCTGGCCAGAACCAGTGCCGGCAGGGCATCACGTTAGGACAGGCTAGCTGAGGGCTGTGCTTAAAGGGAGCCGACCCCGGACAGACAGTTCTCAGGGTTCCCCGCTTGCTTGTCTACCTCGATGAGGGACAGCAAAGCAGTCCTGTCTTGGAGTGCCCTGAGTGCCCACACTAAGCACATCACAGCACTTGGCCATCAGCCCGGCTGCACTTGCCGCAGGCTGCCATCCAGGGGGGGGTCAATCAGGGGACTGTCAGGATCCAGGAGGCCCTGCAGGAGAGCTTCCACCCTGAGGAGCCCACAGAGCCACTCCAGTCCTCCCCACCGGGGGCTCATGCCCCATTCCTCCCTCACCTCCTTCCACTTACCCCTCCCTAGCCCCCCTTCCTGATGTAAAAAATAAAGGACACGTGTGGTCAAAAATAGAAACTCTCTTTATTTAACAAAACTGGGGTGGGGATTAACCTCTGGGGAGACTGGGAAAAGGAGGTGGGAGAGGGGAGGGGGAAACCTGGGAGGAGGGAGCTGGAAGGGGGAAGCCAGGGGAAAAAGGAGGAGGGGAAATATAAAACCATGGTACACCATATCTTTTGTACAGTGTACAGACGTGGTCTCCTCACCTCAAAAAAGATGTTTTGTCCTTGGAAAGGGTTCAGAAAAGGGCAACTACAATGATTAGGGGTTTGGTTCTTATGTTCTTATGTTCTAAGCTCAGGGCTCAGGGTCAGGGGTCTCACTGGACCAACTTGATTTTCATGCAAACCTGCTCCTGGGTTCACATGTGGCCTTTGGTGGCCAGGCTGGCAGCTATCC